AGAAAATGTAATTGCATGGTTTGGATTAATAGTATTTTTAATTGTCTGGAAACATGTCTTTCCTAACCATAACCGTTTCTGATGCATTACCTGCTCTAATTGAAATAAGTTTAATTTCAATCTTTCCCTTGCTTCAGGTGAGAGGGCAATGTCCATAATACCGTATTTCCAACACAGAATTGAGCAGCTGGAAAAAAATCTCTTGTATCAATACCATTAAATACTTGGCTCATTTGCTACACTTGACTGACTGGAACCTGTCCTAGAATAAATAGGGTCTTGATCTGATACAGTTGAAAGCACTGTGAGGTGCTAAGCCACCTAAAACTACTTCTGAAGTCAGTGGAAGTTGAAGGTACTCAGCAATTTTCAAACCTTATTTCTGCAAGTCCCCCCCCCCCATTTCCTTCTGCACTGAGACAGTATGACTGAACGAAGACGACTCACTGGACTAAGACCCAATGCTGTTTCTAAGAACCAAAAGTTGTGATGCCATGAGAGCTCAGATTCTGCAGCACCCTGTGGCCCTCATGGCATAAAGGGGCTGGAACCACGCCTGGGTAATAATTCTGGCATAAGGGGGGGTCCCCAGGCACTATATAGCTGCCACAACAGATCTACACTGTCTCCTGCAGCCCCCAGCATAAGGGATTTACTGAGGGCATGTAATGGAGAAGGGGGCAGAACAGACTGTACCTGAGCTAGTCTGTGCTACAGAATGGCCCCTGGAGAGGCTGCTGTAATTTATCCTGGGTGCTGGGCATGTCCCCAGAAGAGCCTGGAATATAGACCGTGAAAAGTTGGCTTCAAGGTGTCAGAATATAGTAATGGAGAAATGGATAGTCTGGCCCCAAAAATTGGAGGGCCAGATTTTGATAGCTTTCCTCATCTTGAAGAATATCTGATTTCAGGGGTAGTCCTGCTATAAATCACTAGTGATTTGGACTATTTGCGGACTAAGGCACTTCTCAGTGTGAGAAAAGATATCAGATTCTGGCCATAAAAAAAGCCAATGGCTCGCTTATATAAAAACAGAGCTGGGTAAAGGATCTAATTCTGAACCATTAAAATAAATTGAATCCCTCTCAAAATGAAAAACACAGAGAAGGCACCACTAAACATGAGAAATAATGACAGAATCTGGTCTTAGTTGAGTGAGAACCTCATCAGATTAAAATGTGAATTCTGAACATGAATACAAATGTATTTTAAAACTGGTAAACAATGTACAGTGTCAAGTGTCTCAGCCAGCGTCCCCAGAAGTAATTCAGCCAAAAAGTGTCATCACATTTTACCATTTACTCAGGTGCATAGTGGCACAGTATATTGCCTGACATACACATGATCCACTAGTAAATCACTCTTGTAAACTCGTCCTGGATCAAATCACCAAGCCACATGTCGCATTAGAAACTAAAGAGAAAACTGATTAGGGGAGTTTTGCCATGGACTTCAATTAATATTATTACTGTATGCATTGCAGTAGCAGCCAGAGGCCCCAGTGTAGGATGAGGAATCCACTGTACTAGGCATTGTGGACACACACACACACACACACACACACACTAAAGGCAGTTGACTCAAAGAGTTCACAATTTAAGTATGGGAGCAGGGTCAGGCCCAGAGAATTTATAAACCAGTTTGTAACAGGGACTATTCAGAAAAATCCCCGTGGGCAGTTTCCTGTTCATTTTGCTGTGATCTCCACTGTGTCCTCTATAAAGGAGTCACAGAGAAGTCTTGGGGTTAAAATATCCGGGGGGGGGAGTCGAAGAGTTCACACTCAGCCCATGAACTGCTGGAAGATTCTGCTCTCATTTATACCTGCACTCTTCAATCCAGAGAAGTACACTGGTGTACCTCCATTTAACAGCAGTAGGACTCCAGCCCAGAATTTGTCATTGTTTTCTTTGGTGACATTTACACTGTAGCTCCTGAGATGTAATATTTAGAAGACCATAAGCAAAGTGAGTCTTTTGTCAACAGGATTGTTTAGTGCACGGTGTTTGTTTCGTCTGCTGCTTGTAACCATGGATATGCAAATAAAAGGAAAGAGAAAATGGAAAACATTTTCTTCTCCATTTAGAAGGTAACCTGCGTGCTCAAATCACCCCCTAAAGCAGAGGTGGGCAAACTACGGCCCGCGGGACCGTCCTGCCCGCCCCCTGAGCTCCTGGCCTGGGAGGCTAGCCCCCGGCCCCTCCCCGCTGTCCCCCTTTCCCCGCAGCCTCAGCGTGCCACCGGTGCCATGCTCTGGGCTGTGAGCTCCTGCCTGACCTGGTGCCCTGTGCCATGCGGCGCGGCTGCCTGTCCTGGTGCAGCTGCACTTCCAGCCACTGGTGATCCAGGCAGCACGGTAAGGGGGCAGGAAGCAGGGGGGTTTGGATAGAGGTCAGGGGAGTTCGGGGGATGGTCAGGGGCCGGGGGTGTAGATGGGGTCAGGGCGGTCAGAGGGCAGGGAACAGGGGGGTTGAATGGGAGCAGGAGTCCTGGGGGGCAGTCCAGAAGGAGAGGAGAGGTTGGATGGGGCAGCGGGGGGTAGTTAGGGGTGGAGTGTCCGGGGGCTGTCAGGGAGAAGAGGTGGTTGGATGGGGCAGGGGTCCTGGGGGCGGTCAGAGGATAGAGTGGGGGGGCAGGGGCCTCGGGGGCGTAGTCAAGAAGGAGAGGGGGGTTGGATGGGGCGGCGGGGGACAGTTAGGGGCAGTGGATCCAGGAGCGGTCAGGGAGAAGGGGCGGTTGGATGGGACAGGGGTCTCGGGGGGGCGGTCAGGGGACAGAGAGTGGGGGGCAGAGGTTGCTGGGGGGCCATCAGGGGGTGAGAAGCGGTGGGGGTCCGATAGGGGGCTGGGCCATGCCATGCCAGGCTGTTTGGGGAGGCACAGCCTCCCCTAACTGGCCCTCCATACAATTTCAGATGCAGCCCTCAGATGCAGCCCTCAGGCCAAAAAGTTTGCCTGCCCCTGCCCTAAAGGCATATTGTGAGATGAACGAGCAATATGCTAGGCTAGGTGCAAAGTATTACGTTTTATGATAAAGAACAATAGCACCAACTTGTTTTAATGGATGTCTTTCAGGTTGCTTTTCAGTGCTAACTTGTAGTCTTAGGGTCTGATTCTCCTCTCACTTGCACCAGTATACATTTGGGATGGGTCCATTTTAATCAGTGGAGTTACACTAATTAAAACTAGTGCGGCAGGACACTGTACTGCAGAACTTGGCTGCTGTTCTACTGAATCCACAGTAAATAGTACAGATACCCCTGAGTAAATGCACATCTATGGGCCGGATCCTCTGTGGCTGTAAGCCGGTACCTCTATGCCAATTCAAAGCAGCTGAGCCCTATAAAAAAAATCATTTCAAGTAAGAGGATTTCCACCCTATACACCTTTAGCCATTCACAGTTTTAGCAGAGGAAAAACACAGCCCCATTGCCTGACTGGCGCAAATAAACATTATATTTCATCTAGCAGCAAATACATCAATTTTGCCAGTCCCGGGGATGATAACCCAGAGCTCCATACATTATGTAATACATGAAATGAAACTGACTGCTCCTTTGGATTGTAGCTCTCTGCAGGTTTTGTACCAATTAAATAGACTATATTGGCTAGAATCGAATGTAGTTACACTCGTGCAACCCACCCAGTGGTGAAGCAGCTGTACCAGCATCGAACTGCTTGTACCACAGAGCTCATTTCTGTCAATTATCAATGTGCCTAGATAAGCCCTTTTTTTAACAGTATAACTGTGTCCACACTGGGGGAGTTGTTTCCATGTAAATATATAAGTTTATAAACCAAGTTCCTTAGACTGGTACAAAAGCTGGGCGTGGATCAAGCCGAAGAAGAATAGTTGTCCAGCTTCGCTCTATTTAAATGTAAAATGACAGAGTCCATTAACTGATGTAAAAAGAACAGGAGGACTTGTGGCACCTTAGAGACTAACCAATTTATTTGAGCATAAGCTTTCCTGAGCTACAGCTCACTTCACGAAAGCTCAGGCTCAAATAAACTGGTTAGTCTCTAAGGTGCCACAAGTCCTCCTGTTCTTTTTACATTTATTTGAGCATAAGCTTTCCTGAGCTACAGTCCACTTCATCGGATGCATTCAGCCACAGCTGTAGCTCACGAAAGCTTACGCTCTAATAAATGGGTTAGTCTCCAAGGTGCCACACGTCCTCCTGGTCTTTGTGCGGATTCAGACTAACACGGCTGCTACTCTGAAACTTTTCATTCACGGGTGTGAACGCCCTTCAGCCAGGCGGCGAAGGTGGCGGTGCCCAGGGGCAGCTCTCTTTACCCAGTGGCAAGCGGGCAGGATGGGGCACGCTGACTCTGCACAGCCATCGTGCGCCGCGGGGCAGGCGGGAAGCGTTGCCCGGTGGGTCGAGGAGGTCCACGCTCGTCAGCATTTCCAGCCCGTGTCTCGGCTGGCGGGTCGGGACAGAAGGACGCTGCAATACAGCGGAACGCAAGCCCGGCACGGCCCCTGCCCCGCCGCTTGCACGGAGCTGCGGACACCGAGCCGGGACCCGGCCCGGAGGGAGTCAGGCGCCGGCAGCAGGGCTCGGTGTGCGCCGGGATGCGCAGGGGAGGGTCCGCTCACTTCCCCGCCCACCCCGGCCCCCCGCCCCTCCCGCCGGGGGCCGGTCCCCGCCGCGCGGCTCCGGACACGCGTGGGGCCGGCTCCCGGTGCCCACCCTACCTGGTCAGCGCAGGAAGCCCAGCCGGAGCGGGGCGTCCCCCTCCATGGCCCGGCCCCACGTGCTCCATGGCCCGGCGGCGAGCCGAGGGGACCCCCGCCCAGCCCCGCTGCCGGGGCCGGCATTTGAGCAGCGTTGGAAGGGGGCGGGCAGCCCTGCCCCGTATTGGGGGAGCGGAGGAGGGAGGGAGTCAGCGACGAGCCGCCTGTAGCCAGCCGGAGAAACGCCGCGGAGAGAGACTCAAAGCCCCGAGCGCCCGCCCCCCAGCCCCGAGCCCGGGCTAGCAGCCACCACTCACCCAGCTCCAGCCCCTTGGCATCCTTCCGCAGCTCGCCTCCGCACCCAGGGCTGGCCGGAGCCCCGCTTCGCTGCTCTGGGGATTCCGAGCCGGGCCTGCGGTGGGGACTAGGGGAGAGCCAGTGGGAAGGAATTGGTCATTAGGCGACATCTACTCCGTCCTCCTAGCAAGGCTCCAGCGAGGGATGGAGGAGGTGTTGGTTGCCTAACACGTGTCTTCCATCTCTGCCTGCTCTGCGTCTAAATCCACTTTGCATTAACTGCTCCAGCTCCAGCCTTAGCCATGGGATCACAGATAAGGTATGGCTGGAAGAGACCACGGGAAGTCCTCAAGTCCAGCCCCCCTGCCCTCAGGCAGGACCAAGTAAACTAAAACTACCCCTGACAGGGGTTTGTCCAGCCTGTTCTTAATCTCCAGTGGTGGGGAGTCTGCCACCTCCCTTGGAAGCCTGCTCCAGAGCTTAACTACCCTGAGAGTTGGAAAGTTTTTCCTATTATGGCACCTTAATCTCCCATGCAGCCCATTTGCGTCCTACCCTCAGTGGAGGTGGGGAACGATTGATCACTCTCCTCTTTATAACATATTGGAAGACTGTTACCAGGTCCCTCCTCAGTCTTCTTTCCCCCAGACATGCTAGCAAGTCAATTGAATTTGAAGGAGATCGCTGTACTGACAATAATAATTAGTAAATAAACCACGTCGTGAAAGCTCTTTTCCCCTCTTCTGGCTGTCAGACAACTGCCCAGCCTCACCAAGCTCATCAGCAGAAGCAAGCTTCCCCCAGACACATCAATTCAAAGCAGCACCAGCAAAAGCCATAACAACAGACTAGAAACCTGCAGACATATCTCCCACGCTATAATGATCAGTACCCCCCCCCCCCCCCCGCACACACACACACACCCAGGGCCAGTGCAACGATATTTTGGGCCCTAGGCGAAACTTCCACCTTGCGCAACCCCTCTCCCCTCCCCCCACAACCTCCAAAAACTATTAAACTTAGCATTATAAACAGCCTGTCAGAATGGGTAAGGGCTGTTGTAATGTTTCTTTTTTACCTTTAAGGCATTGCAGTTGTTTGCCATTGCCTCTGATGGTGTCTCATTCAAAGTCTTACTATTGTGCAAAGCTAAACAATTGAGCCTTGCATTGCATCACCAGCCAGGTTAGGCAGGGTGACAAATCCCCCTTGCCCATAAAGGGCCATTATCCCCTGGTGACTAATTTCTACTCCAAGTCTGTAAAGCAGACTTTTAAGGTAAATACATTATTCCTTCAATATTACCCATGCACACATCTCACAAAGATTCTCACTCTTGACAAGTTACCAGCCTTGTGTAGATCCCTTCCACATTCCTCTTTGTGGGTAAGTGCCCTGTCAGACACGTGTGGGGTGCAGTGAGTTTGTCAGGCCTGCGGTGACAACTGTTTGTGAAGATCAGGGGGCCCTTCGCCAAGGGGTGCTGGTGTCACAGTGAGCTTGGGGTGGCTGACAGCATGGGGCAGGGCACTGAGGCTGGTGGGGCAGGTAACACTCACTGGGCTGGGGGGCAGGCGGTGCCGGGATGGGGCAGGGGCAGGTACCTGTCAGTCTCCAGCGCTCGGGCTGTGCCGGGGCCAGCAGCCTCTTCATCTCGGAGTCTCCCCTGCTTGCCCGGGGGACACTCCTCCTCTCAGGCTCCCCGGCCGCAGCCGCCCGGGAGGATGCAGGCGGGGGGCACCACCGCGGAGGAGACGCAAGGGGCCGGGCTCGGCTGGGGCCCCACACCTGCCGGCCGAGAGCAGCAGGAACCGGGCGCCACTGGGTGGGAGCCGGGCGGCCCGAGCCCAGGACACCTACGCTCCCTGCCTGCCCCTGCTAGTGCGGAGGCTGCCACCGCCTTGGGTTCGGGCCGCCCGGCCCCCCCCGAGCGGCACCTGGTTCCTGCTGCTCTCGGTCAGCAGGTGCGGGGTGCCAGCCGAGGACAGCCCCTTGCGTCTCCTCCGCAGCGGCGCCCCCCGCCTGTGTCCTCCCGGGCGGCCGCAGCGGCCGGGGAGCCTGAGAGGAGCAGTGGCCCCCGAGCAAATGGGGGAGACTCCGAGGTGAAGAGGCTGCTTGGTACGGCCCGAGCGCTGGAGACTGACAGGTACCTGCCCCTAAGCAATAGTGTAAAACAAAATTGGGGGGCACTGCTTTTTGGCACCCCCAAATCTTGGCGCCCTAGGCGGCCACCTAGTTCACCTAGTGGTTGCACAGGCCCTGCCCACAACACACCTTTCAAGATCCATGGGCCTACACCTGCCAATCACAACATGTGGTGTACCTCAGCCAGTGCACCAAATGCCCCGATAACAACTAAGTGAAATGAGACAATCACTACACTCTCAAATAAACTCACACTGAAAAATGATAAAAGACAAAATCATCCATCAGCCATGGGCAAACATTTTTCACAAAGCAATCACTGCATATCTGATCTCTCAGTCCTTGTCCTCAAAGGAAACCTGCACAACACCTTCAAAAGACGAGCCTGGGAGGTTACATTCATGACTTTGCTAGCCACTAAAAATCATGGACTTAATAAAGACACTGGATTTATGGCTCATTACAACAATCTGTAACCCACTAAGCCCCCCTTTGTCCTACAGCCGTAGAGGTGCTGACTGCTTACTTCCCCTAGAATGGTCTCTTGCAACATGTAACTCTTTATCTGTTCCTCTTTGTATTTAGCTGTGTTACCCTAAGTACCGTTCCCAGACCTGAGGAAGCGCTCTTGTGTTAGCTCGAAAGTTTGTCTCTTTCACCAGCAGAAGTTGGGCCAATAAAAGATATGACCTCACGCATCTTGTCTCTCTCATAATACATTATTCTTTTTTGTTACAGAAGTACTTTGAGGATCCATCCCGGATGAAGGTGGGGGGCTCCATGATGTAAGGCACAGTACAACAGCAACCTATTGTACAACAATACAAATTTCCCAAGATGGATGCAAAAACTTGTGCCCACAAAATCCATGGGCACCCATTGTGCAGGTGAACTGCTTTGGAATGCACTAGATGGGTAAATGCATGCCAAGACAATAAAGGGGTGTAGGATTACAATTAGAATCACACAGGGAGGGGTGTTTCCTGTCTAAAGGCAATGTTTCCATGTAATAAGTGCATCTTCTATGATGTATTATTTCATTATACATTGAGTGGAGTTTGGCCATATGGTGGAAGGGTACACTTAAACTGAGAGGTCCATATGGTGGATTACAACGACCTTAGCTGCAGGGTGAATACTGGTCAATTTTCAACTCCGTGGGCAATAGTTTTCCACCATGAGCTGAAGTGATAGGTTTTATTAAAACTTCTAAAAAGCCTGCCAAAGATCGCACTCTGGCACAAAGGCTAAACTTGACTGTGTGTAGCTCAGAGGAGCAGCTGCAATCTGCAGCAGGAAAGAGGGCACAAGGATTTAAAATATAATTAATTTCACGGAGCAGCTGGATGTTCGAGTCGCATACCATTAATTTTGCAGTAACTGTTAAACATTTTACAGCTGAACTAAAAAGCCATCATGGTGTTGGTGGTAGGCAAATGATCGAGGATGGGATTTTTCAAAAACATGCGGTGTTGGCCTAACTCTGCTCCCATTGCAATCACTGGTAAAATTCCCATTGAGACTTACATGGAAGAAGCGTTGGACCAATGCTGAGCACTTTTGAAAATCCCATTTGTCTTTATCTGCTTCTCAGTGGGCGGTGGTGAAGTCTCAAGGCAATTTGGCAAACTTCTGGAGGGCAGGAAGTTAGACAGTCCTGTTCAGACCAATTGGATCATGAGTGTCAAGTGAAAGATTCCCCCCTAATTTAAATACATTGTAAAAAATGCATCCATTTGTAGCTGAAACATATTAAGTTAAATGTCAAAATAGCATACAGTCGTAAAAGCCAAGCATACGCGAAAGCTTTCGTTTCAATACCATTTTGGTCTCATTCCCAGAGCTGTAAGCTTAGGACCATAAATGCTGTAGCGCTGGACTGTAGACATTGTCTATAGAAGCGAAGTACTTGTGGCACCTTAGAGACTAACCAATTTATTTGAGCATAAGCTTTCGTGAGCTGTAGCTCACGAAAGCTTATGCTCAAATAAATTGGTTAGTCTCTAAGGTGCCACAAGTCCTCCTTTTCTTTTTGCGAATACAGACTAACACGGCTGTTACTCTGAAACCTGTCTATAGAAGGGGGTTTTCCACCACTGTTGGTAACCCACCTCCTCAAGAGGAGGTAGCTAGCTAAATTGATGGAAGAATTCTGCCATTGATTTAGCTATATCTACAACTGGGGTTAGGTCAACCTAAATACAGTATTGAGGAAAAAGAACAGGACGACTTGTGGCACCCTAGAGACTAACAAATTTATTAGAGCATAAGCTTTTGTGAGCTACAGCTCACTTCTTCAGATGCATACTAAGGTGCCACAAGTCCTCCTTTTCTTTTTACGGATACAGACTAACATGGCTGCTACTTGGAAACCTTACAGTATTGAGGGTACACATTTTTTCACAGTGTTGAGTGATGTAGCTAAGTCAATCTAATTTTTAAGCGTAGACCAGCTCTTATTATGCATGGCATGTACTCCTTACTCACAAGTGTATTCCCATTAAATTCAGTAAGATTAGATGCTTGATTGAGGATTACTTATGTGAATAATGGCTTGCAAGACTGGGCCCTATAAACTGAATTTATACAAGGACTATGCCGTGGCTCTGTGTAGCCTGACTTGCAGTAATTCAATAGTATAGTACTCCAGATGGCCAGTGTATGGGTGAAGGGGGGAAGAAAAGCAAAGAATTATAGGAAGCTTGGTTATTTTAGGCATTTCAGAGTATTTCTGTAAATAATGAGCAGGGATAATTTATCTGGAACCATTCCATAAATCATTCTCTAGAGGGCATCTCTTTTCAAACAGATTCAGAAAGTAACATGATTCCATCTCAATGATAAAAATTCTCATTTTTATGTTCTATTATGAATGTATGGAATCTGAATTTCTATGAGAACTATACCTCAGTAATGTTGCAGCCTTACTTGCAATAATTTAATGGCATAATACCCCACACGGCCAAGATGCATGGGAGATAGAAAGAGAATGAAAAGAATTAATGGTTACTTTAGGAATTCCAAAGTAGTTCTCTGAATGATGAGAGGGATTGATTTATTTTGAATCATTTTACAAATAAGTCTGTAGAGGGCATCCCTCAACAATGGATTCATGGAGTAATATGACTCAGTCTCAATTAGTGACACATCAAAATGTCCCATCCAAAAGATCTCATTTGTTATGATATAAAAAGAGTTAATGAAGAGGCATCTGAAAGAAGCCACTGTATTTTCACTGGTTTCAGAGTAACAGCCGTGTTAGTCTGTATCCGCAAAAAGAAAAGGAGTACTTGTGGCACCTTAGAGACTAACAAATTTATTTAAGCATGAACTTTCATGAGCTACGGCTCACTTCATCACTTTCACTGTCACTGTTAAGAAAGTTCTTGTGTAAACTGACTCTTTTATGACTTGCAGGTAGCCTGGCCTGGGATTCGATTTTGAGGAGCAGCAGTGGTAAGATCTATGTTCACTGGTGTGCAGCATATCACTGTATAGTAATCTCTGTGTAATAAGATGTAAAATACTACAGAGAACACATTTTACTCCAAGTAGCCTC